AAGGTGTGAGTGATTGAATGCGTGTGTGTGTAATATCATAATATATTCTACAGCGACCACTACCGCCGAAATAAGATATCAATATCGAGGTGGTAGAGGTCTCTTTTACCAGGTTGCCTCTTTAGCAAGCTCTATCAGGAGTTGCTTTTTACTGCTGTATCTCTGTCTCTGTCTCTCTCTCTCTCTCTATATATATATATATATATATATATATATATATATATATATATATATGAAGAAATATTCCTAAATGTGCTATATTTATGGGATAAAGTGCTCGATATCAGAGATAGAGCGTGTGTAAATATAAAAGTGAACATAAAGTCAACACTTAGAGGCGACAGTCTGTTTCATGCTCTATGCAATCGTTGAAACAGACTGTCGCCTCTAAGTGTTGACTTCTATGTTCACTTATATATATATATATATATATATATATATATATATATGTGTGTGTGTGTGTGTGTGTGTGTGTGTGAATAAATGAAACACAGAATTTACGGTACCATTGTTCTCAGAACCATGGACGAACAAATAAATTCCTACAATAACAAATCACTCTATAAATATATAATCACTGTATATTACCTGGAAATGTGATTTGTTTCTTTGAGGCAAGTCACATAAGAAGAATGCCAATGAAAGATCATTAATTGAATATTAAAATAGAATTTTAAATTCACATAATTGTATATTGTTATGCGGCTAGTTTCCTTTTATTTATAGCCACCTGCAATACAATCCTGGCGTCTCACTCTTCTTAAAATGACAAACAAACTAATTTTAGCATAAGTTTGTTTATTGCTGTATGGGTATTAGAAATGGCAGCAAATATGATCCACTTTTTTTAGTCTACTTTCATTTTCTTTTGTATTTATCAATGTTTTTACTAACTACCGTTTTAATATTCTGGCGGACATGTCGCATTTATTTTACTTATTTCAATCCAAGCCACAAGGCGAAGATGCCACCAGAACGCAGAGACTTACGTTGAGTCAATACGAATAAGACAACTTAAGTAGGGAGGATTGAGTAACGGTCAAAAAAAGAACAATGTTAAAGAAGGCAGAAGATGATAATTCACGCGACATTTAAAGTTTTAAAATTGTAATTATCAGGGAAGCAAGAATCGGAAGTGAGCCCCACAGGTGAGAAGTGCGAGAAAAATGTTAGAATAGAAATGGTGGTTGCATCTAGATAATACACCAGTAAAACTCTGAGATCTAGTTGCCAATATAGTAGCACGCTTAAATTTACGTAATCGAGGCACCAGAGAAGAGAGCTCATCAGGAAAAAAATGCAATGGAAATCATTCTAGAAAAGACAGAGGGAAGCCACATCGGTGTGACTGAAGTTGAGATGTTTGCTCATGATTAATTACATTAGAGACTTTTCTTTGAATTTTGCCAAGAATCTCGTGATGTACAGCAGGATCAGCAGACCATATATGGCAAAGCATTCAATCAACGGATGAATAGTAGATTTATATATGTGCAAGATGAATTTGACGAGAAAAAATAGGGCACGACACAGTGAATTAAATTTCCTTGCAGCACAGATAGCGATTGATTTGATATAGTCGCTCCACTTCTTGTCAATGAAAAACGTGTGTCCATGAAGGCGTAGAGAGTTTAGAATTCGCAGTATTGATGGTAGGCAGAAAAGTTTCTTTGTGTTGAATACATGAAAGCAGTTTTGTTTTGAATTCGGTAAAATTTACAAGCCATTTCTTGTCCCAGTTAACAACTGATTAGAGGTAGTTTTGGAATTTTTTTCACAAAATTTCATTTTGGTGAAAAGCCAAGACGATCTTTCTTTCTAAATGTGGATTACGGATGAAATATGGATGCTTCGTATCTGTGGAGTTGCAATGCGAGTCGTTCGTGCATATTTCCGAAATTGTGGAACTAAGGTATGAAGCGCATCTTAACAGTTGCTATAGAAAGGCGTTTCTTAACTGGGGTCAACATGGACGCTGGGGAACAAGGTACGTTAACTGGGTGACCGCACACAAAAAAAATAATAAATTGGAGATGCACGGTAATATTTTTGTGGTCCATGGAGAAATTTCACTTCCGAACAATTGTTACCGCTGGGAATTAGAACTTGTATCCCTTATTAAAATACTTCAAATAGAATAAATCTAAAACTAGCAGAAAATGAAATCAACAGATGTAAGTTAGAATCTCTTTTACTCTACCGGATATTTTGATTGTAAAATTTGAATATGATATACAAAAGAAAGATTATAATGATTTTCTAAGCGCTGCTTAGATGTGGCACAAGGCCGGATGTATGGAGCACCCAGAAAAGATAGAACTCACTATTCAGTCGTAATATGTTCTAGCAAGACAAGCTTGCTAACCATTACACCATGCCGAGGTGCCCTATAGTGACTTTCCAAGCTTTTCAGATGTGGCACAAGGCATAAAGTATGGGACACCCAGTGAGGATCGAACTCACTACTCATTCATAATTGTTCTACTGAGATAAGCTGGCTAACCATTACATCACACCGAGGTGCCCACAAAGGAAAGATTATATATGTAAAGGAAAATTATATAAAATATATAATTTATTGTATATATGAATGTATTATATTAATAATAATAAATAATGACAATTTTAAATATTAATAAAATAAAATATTATATACTAATATTAATTAATTAATATAGTAATAGACACGATATTGGGAAAAAGGGTAATTATCGTCATTGTTGAAGCTGGATATTAAAAAAAAGATCTCGCAGATCAGCATCAACCCAGGGATCTCATTGAATAAATGTGAATTTGTTTTAATTTATTAATTACTCACTTTTTGAAAAAAGGGTTTATTATGAGTTATTTTGCTAGTGTACATAAATGTTCCATAGAATTTAATTGTTAAATATAAGTTTATTTTCATTAAACTAGTTTTACATTAAGATAAAGTATATGCATTTACTATTTCAATAATATATTTTCAAAAAATATTCTATTATAAAAAAAAAAACAACTTTTGTTTCATCGAATCGTTATGTGGGGAGGGTCACCCAAAACATAAGAGTAAAATTAGTCCATAAATTATTTTAAAAAATGGTTTGAGAACCACTGCTATAGAAGAATCGTCAAAGCACCGACAGGTTTGTATATTTTCATTTCTGGAAAAGCTGTGGAAAATTGGGAGACAAATTATTATGCATAATGCCGCATAAACAATTTTGACCTCTGTAAGAATTGAAAACAGGATTACTTATGAAATCATTATCACATTAAGCAGATTGGATTGTCAAATCTAAAAAGAAAAAAAACTAATAAATCCATGTAGCTGTCATAAATCTGTATTAGTATCCAATTCAACTCTGATCCGTGTGAATTCGGTGAATATTGAGACAGAAATACATAGAACAAGAAAAAAGCTGGTTTTCTGACAAATTACGTGATATCTGTCCTACTCTATGGAAGTGAATGTTAGACTATTTTCACGAAGATGAAGAAGGAACTTGAAGTAACAGAAATGTGGTTCTACAGAAGGATACTGAGGATAACCATGATGAGAAATTGTGAGCAACGATGAGGTTTTAAAGAAAATGGAAACAACAACGAAATTTTCACTGAACTTCAGGAAGCACATAATGAAGAAAGAGGGTTGGAAAATATGTTACTCAAAGGACGGATTGAAGGCAAGAAGAAAAGAAAACAACGCATAACGGATTTGACGAGTCCAAAAAGAAATAATGTCTGAACAGGGTTTGAAAATTACGAAAAGATAAAATTTATTTAGAATTGTAAGGGTTCAGGAAATTGTGAAGATCCATGGTCGACTATGTTCTGAGGGGATACGGCAGAGAGATAGTGAATGAGAGAGAGAGAGAGTGAGTGAGAGAGAGAGAGAAAAAAAAAGAAAGACAGGGAGTCGGTGCCTGTGACGAATTTTGGCTATTCCAGACCATTTCTGAAAAACTGTAACCAGGATAAAATACTTACCATTTATCTGATGCAAGCACTTCCTACTTTTAGGAAGTTTTTCCCCGATTGTTAATTTTCGTAATCCCATCTCTGTGCCGATTTAACCAAACATGACATACTTAAAACATTTCGGAGATGCCATGAGAACATTAACGCTTAAAAACATTAAAGAAACGATGATTTTAAAAATATTTTGTAACATGGTTTATATAAACATTTTGAATACAGATTAAAATTGTTCCCTTGATATCTTTTTTCATTAGCATCGATTACATAAATTTTAGAGTGCTATTAGATTGGCGAATTGATCTCACAGTTTTACTGGTGAATTAGCTAGATGCACCTTCCACATCTACTCAATTTTTCTCGCAATGTTTTGTTTCAAATTTCTCAAGATATAGGACAAGTCGGAGTAAATAATACAAAATTTAGTAATAAGATAAAAAAATAAGAACATTCTTATTAAAAGTACATTCACAATTCTCTTTTATGTGCCATGTTTCTTCAGGATGTTGTGTATTATGGCACTCAACAACTTCCTATCCATGCAGCCTACAGAATTCACCTCCGATTTCTTGAAATCACCTGTAGAATTCACCTCCGATTTTTTTTCTTCCCTGCCGTGAATTAAAAAGGCTACATAACATCTTTGCTTGATAACGTGGAAATGAAAGAAATCATGCAATTATGATTGTCATGTCATATTAGAATGCTTATATGACAATAAATGATGTACAATTTCTTCACATAGTACAGACATGTAGTTCCAGAGAAACATGCTGAGAATATCAAGTACGAAACGTATGAGCAAACAAGAGGTCCTAAGGAGAATATAAATCTGAAGAGCACTTATAAAAAAATAAATCTAAAAGTTCTTGAAAGGATAAGGAGCAAGGAGTGTTTAGATAATTTGACACTCATATGACATATCGAAAGACAACATGATAGAGGAAGGCAGCGTTTCACCGACTTGATGAACTTGTTTGAATTGGTAGCGGAGAAGGGGGTCCAAAATGACAAATGCTACTAAAGGCTGCATATTTTAGGCTTTCGGCCACATCACGTTGAAACATAGGTTCCCGTAAGATTACCGAACTTAAGCAACGTCGAGCCTGTTCAGTATCTAGATGGGTGACCTCTTGGGAATAACAGGAGCTGTAAGCTTAAATTATATTATGGTGGTAATGGTAATTTTTAATCGGAGTGCCGAGTTCCAATTCCAGTTGTATTTTTAATATTCACATACTCGTAAATTTACTAATACACTTCTTCACCAGTTATAGATTAATTATTAAGACTTGTACCACAAATAAGTACTCTTTTCTCTAAAAAAAAAGATTCTAATCTAAATATATTTTCTGGATTTAAATAATCTAGAGTCTAGATGAATTTAATGCAGGACATTTTGTGTTCATCAACGATTCCAAGAATTGTTCCCGTGTACCGAATTAGAGAGAATTGATGTAATTTTTCAAGAGCATCTCTGAATTAGAATCTGTACAATATCATACAGAATAACTGGAATAAATTGGTTGATGTCCATCTGAGATTATTTTTATTTTTCTATGTTAATCTCATGTACACGGCGAAGCATACGTACTTACAGATGTTAGACATCCATATGAAAAACAAATTCCAGTAGAGTTGAAGAATTGGCGATTAGAGAAATTATTCACCAGAGAAACCTCGACTAAATACGCCATTCTTGGTTACAAAATCAATAAATTCGCAGCATAACGATACAGTTATTTTCATGGCCAAGCAACATAAATGTTTCGAGGATTTGTGAAGAAAATAACTTGTATTATTTCTAGTAATGTAAAATTGGAATTGAATATAGTTAATTCGTTGTATATCACTGTTGCCTTATTTACGACCAAGGTTTTTATAGCTCTCGTTTTTATAGCTATCATCGAATTCTAAAATTTTACGATTGCTTTTTGTCCATGCCATTTTATCCCTTCACCAAAACCATTTAGACAGGTTCATCCCTGTTTTCCTTCTTCTGTTAACTTGTCCTTGCGGGAGTTAAATTTCCCAAGTCCTGTTTCCTAATTATATAAGAATTTTCAAATGTTTCATTGTTTTCCTTTTAACTATAACTGTCTTTTTAGTTTACATATTATTTACAAAGTCCTCATTGCTTTCATGATGTGCCAATGGTATTTGCAGTATCCATCCATAGAAACAAATTGTTGTCGCTTCGAAGCACTTCTTCATTTGCTAGAAAACTATTTACCATTCACTTTAATACAGATGGATAGACATGGAATACTACTTCAGCACTGTTTTCTTCGTTTCTAAAGAAATTATTCTATCTCTAATATTTGGTTCAGTTTCCGGAGGCCCTCTTTCGCTATTTCGATGCGAGTACCGATTCTGTATCAACGTTGTCTTTTACAAAACTGCCGAGGATGTATAATACGTGTCAAAACAAATAGAGAAGTATGTGAAATACAGAAATGAAAACAACACGTAGGAAACAAACATCATTTAATATTTAACGGTCTCTTCATGACAATTGGCTGATATTTGTAATAATCTGAGGTAAGTCGCATGCACATTTCCTACAGATATATCACTTTGTATTAGTCAATAAATAAATACGCAAACTAACATTTATTATTTATATCATACACGGAAACAGACTGTTTCGCTGTATCACAGCTCATCAGTGTGGCTAGACGTCCGGTTGCCTCTAGGTAGGATCGAAACCCGACTGATTTGGCGTCAGTCGGGGATTCTACCACTAAGTCTTTGGCGCACAGTGACGGAGATAACTCGATACGATTTACCGAAGAGCCTTGCATTATTAGACGTAATAGTCACTGTTCACAAACCCACATATATATATATATATATATATATATATATATATATATATATATATATATATATATATATATATATATATATGTCTATATGTCTATGTTTCTGAGATGAGTTGTTATGTACAATATTTACATTATTATTACTATTATCCTCATCTTTGTCGCCATATTTATCACAACGTTTCGGTCGGTGTTAGCTCCAGCCTTCTTCAGGTGGTTGGAATGTCCTCAAGGACACATGGATAAAGCCGTTAGGATCCAAACAGGACCCAAAGTGTGTTTGCAATACCTGGTTAGCTGGTGGAGATCTTGAGAGAGGGACCCATAACTGATAAATGACATCCATTAGACAATGGCACGAAAACCATAACAGTCTACCCCAGTGAGAAATAAAGGGTTCAACATTCCAACCAACTGAAGAAGGCCGGAGTCAACGAAACATTGTAAATAATATATATAAGATGAGAAGAATAGTCCGAATATAAATATATATATATATATATATATATATATATATATATATATATATATAATTCGCATGCAAAAAATTTGTAGATGACATACTGCACTTAGTATTTCTAAGGCAGGAAAGACGGCTTGAAAATGTTAATCGTTATAGAACCGATTATAGATGTTCCACTTGATTTTGAAAAGATATTGACACTATGTGACGTAATTTAAGCCTATAAAAACGCGTCCATTTCTATTTCTAAGCTCTGTTAGAGCTTTTCAATTCTGGGTTTTAGATGTAGTCCCACGTGAGTAAAGTGTGCGGAACTGGGACAAGTTCCTTTCATGTTTTTTTGTCTCAATTTATTTTACTCTCTCACACAAAATTATTCGCGCGCACGGTCTCCCTCAATCTGTCTTTCTGTCTCTGTTTCTCTCTAACACACGCACACGCGAGCTCACACAAACACACACCCACACAAACAGAGACAATCACATTCTTTTTATAGCTTTATGCTTTTCCTTTCGCCATTAACTGGTAAAGCCGACGGGTTATTTCTCCTGGAGAGAAAATTACACTTTTTAAAACCGAAAGCCAATGAAAAAAACTAATTCAACCAAATTCTCCATCTACGTTTCTACGTGAACCCTTAAAATAATTTACTCTTACGATAAATTTGTGAATAAACATGATGTAATATCAACGTCGCAAATTAAAAAAAAACTTTATAGAACTGCTATATAACATAGCAACTGTCTGGAGAATATGGTCTCAGTGTCAACAAATATTTTCAACACGTACAGACTAAAATGCTACAATTATTATTACGACTACTACATACAGCGAAGAGCAATACTCTCTCCCTCACCTAACCTTTTTTTCTTCATATTAGCCAAAATCACGCTTGACTTCTATCTTCATCGGCATGTATCATGGAACTTTTTTCACCAAACGAAAAATACAACGTTTGTATTACATGTTTGAGGCATCTAAAACGCAGATAATGTCCTTCAGGAATGCCGATCAGATTTCACAAAGAATCCTAAGCGGGCCACACGAGAAAATATCACTCAAACACAGATTATGTCATCTTCTCTCTACTACACTTCAAAACTAGAGTCTCTACTTGGTTTCAAAGAAAAATAAAAAAAAAACAGATGAGAACAAAAATGACTAAAATATCATCAAATACGATTTAATAATATATGGAAATAGCAGCATCTTAGAGAAAAATTGACCACAATACCAGATATCTTCAAAGGTTCTCACAAAACATACATTCGACACTAGGAATAATTTTATCATCATCAGCTCGAAAACATTACGAATTATTAACAAAGAAAAGCTTTAATAAGCTTTTTTTTGTTAATTTTCTGTGTCACCAAGATGATGCATGTATATGTATGTATGTATAGCTGGCCACTCTTCGAGAATACTCGTCTACTAGGGCGGCTAGCCAATATCTGTTGCAGTCTCTTGCTCAGGCGTATTTGCGTTTAGTCAACATCCACACAGCCCACCTGTTGTTTATACTACAACTATGCCGAGCAAACCTTAGTAACAGTTTCTGCAAAATAGCTTGTTATATAGCGTGGTCAACAATTTGAACAAGGAAAGTACGCTCAAGATCTCGGCTAGGGTAAACTGTGACTTCGTGCTAGCACTGCTATCGACGGCACCCTTTCTAACCAATCGGCCATAGCAAAATAAAACGTTTCTTCTAAATAAAATATAACTCAACGTGAAGCATTGAAAATCTACCACAATATTCTTCTACAAAATGTCACCCACAAGGCTTGGGTCAACGGGTGGTACGATTTTCAGGCATTTTCCAATGGTACCGCACGCTCGGATCGATCCCTCGAGTAACATCAGGACGGCTTCTTCCTGACAAATCGACCATGGTGAGATTCGAACCAGGATCTCATGGTCAGAATGCGAACTTTCTAACCACTCGGCCATACCAAAATAAAACATTTCTTCTTAATGAAATACAGCTCAAAGTGAAGCATTGAAAATCTACCACAATATTTTAACACGAACCGCTGGTCTCTGTCTCTACCTTGTATTTCGACGTGAAAAATCCACTCCTAATATGTGTTTCAGGGCCTGCTACATTCTGAAATGTATACAACACCCTGAAGAGGTAGTGCTTCAGAAAAGTACATTTTCGTCGACATCACAAGCGCACTATTTGACTGTTTTTTTTTCTTTTCAGCCTATGAATGACAACACAAATGTACGCGAACTGTATGTACATATAACTAGAATAAAAATCTCCCCATATGAACTGAGTCTTGTGAGTTATCCCACTTGACATTGCAAAAAAAAAAAAAAAAGCGTCGCTACGGGGCGATCCTTAAGCCTATAAAAAGGTGTACATCTCTCTCCTAGCCTCTTTTACAGCTTTTCAACTATGTATTTTAGATGTAGTCGCACGTGGGTAAAGTGTCCTCCACTTTTTTGCGCACGTACGCACACGCACAAACATGCACATTCTTATTATAACTAATCTAATAATTTTTCTTTTTGTTACATGTAATTCCTTTTGTAAATAGATGCATTGTCGTTTATTTTATATTTATTGTATTGTGTTACTCAAATTGCGTCCGCCATTATTATTTGTAGGATAATTTTTTTCAGTAACACATAAATATTTCTTATCTAAAGCAGTGGTTCTCAAAATTTTTTACTCAGCGACCTCTTTTCCCTTCTTTTTTCTTGGTGTCCCCCATAATAGCTATTTGACATAAGGTAACAATATTCTATTTTTCACTAATAAAAACTTTGAGGTTTTAATAATCAAAGAAATATTATATAATTAAGCTGTATTTTTAAATGAAAAACTAATTCAGTAGCAGAGTCGATATCATCCCTAAA